AATGCACCTTTCGATTCACATCCGGGATCCTGACAGCAAAATGCTAATTCCAGTGTATTACAGGCATATTTTAGTTGGACCTCATGATTAAATGTGAAATATTTTCTGTATTAGATACAGAGGATACCATTTTTTTGTTTGTTTGAAATGTCCATCAGAGAAATGCACAACATGCTGTCTGTTCCCTATGAGCTGATGCGACTCACACACCATGGAGCTTTGCTCTCCAAGCCTCGCTTTCGATCCAAGATGGCGAAAGTGTGAAAAAGGTCAATAGACAGTCAAAAATGTGGTCGATCTTACTTCCGTGTGTCAATCTTAGCGCTAATGTTGCGATCGCAAGTCTATGACATCGCCTTCTGATTAAAACAACAGTTCAGAGTTTTGTTTGCCTCTTTCTATACTACTCAAAAGACGTTAAGGATCACCCGATTCTTTCATAATGGTAAAGTTAATCTGTCATGGCATGGGAGATTAACTATAGTAATATGAAAGAATCGGGTGATCCTTAACTTCTTTTGAGTAGTATATAACAATGTCTGAGTGCCATTGTTTTAGACCGGTTAACTTAATCGTCAAGTATGCTATCTAAACTAAACTACGAAACTATCGCTAACTTCCACCACATTGTAACCTACCTTCTTATATAAGCATGCCTACGTGCTCTTTGAATTCCGTTCCATGTGTACGGGTGTATTTAATCAATCCTAAGTAAGATCATATAGCACAACAAAGACTGGATAACCAGCTAGAGTAGTAACTGATGTCTCTTATAACTACTACAATGGAATATGAAAATATAATGAAGAGACACATGCCTCAATAGTTTCTCTGAATGACCATGACATTTCTTGATTGTGTCAATTTTCATCGCAACCTTCGTTGATGAATTAGACTGATCGGATAGCGTTTCCATGGGGAGGTGGGACGTGTTCTCCACACACACACACACACACACACACACACACACCAACACACACACCAACACACACACACACACACCCCTGAACAAGGTATGTCGCTTCACAGGACGTTTTAAAAATAGTGCATAATTCAATTCTAAGGTTTTGCTCAAAGAATTGTTTATGATACAGAGGTAGCGGTGACCCAGTCATCTGAAGCGCCGTAATTTGTTGTGCAGACTTACGTCCCTTTGTCACGCCAGAATCCGACGATAGTGGGTTCGAATTCTCGATTCGCCCTGATTACGTTGTTGAGTTGTCAGCAGGATGCCCATACTCGTGGATTACACAAACGTGGTAAAAGTCTTAGAACATGCTTGGCTTTCCTCCAACATTAAACTGACATCCAGATGTAACTGAAATACTGGTTAGAGTGGCGTAAAACCCAACCAGACACACTGTACCGGCATATGGTCTAGATCTGACCCAACTCTATAGCCTCTCCCAGACCCTAAAAAAGAAAATTGGAAAAGGAGTCCATCTCAAGTCTAGAATAATTTGGCAAGTGAGATTGCCTCAGTTCTGAAATTAAAGATTTTTTAGGGGTCCCTTGGGATATATCAATTGTAGATATATATTTTTAAATTAGATAACTTTATTTCTGGGACAAAATGTCAGTCTAACCCAACTCACTCACACTTATGCATGACAGTGCGATGTATTGCTTTTTCTACAACCAACATATGCTACCTGCATTCAACTAACCTGTTGCAATATGACAAGTTTTGTCAATATATATGTCTCTGAAATTATGTGTAGAAAAATTAGCCTATTCAAGTCTTTCATAATTGCGACTGAACACGTAGTCTGTCATACAGATCCTGATACAAATATATCCAATACAGCCCATGCAAGTCCATAATGTTTGGCAAGTCTAGGTTCTGGGCTCCTTTTTATTATATTTCTATTAAGATAATTTCACAACTGTTTGTTTTTTCTGTAAGACATGTTCATTTCAGAGACTAGATGTCAGTCTACTGATCATGTTTCGCTGCCCCGTCCTTGGGTGACATTATAGAATAAACAACTCACAGACACGTGTGTCAGAATGAATACTTTTCCTGGTATAATACGCACTGACTAACTACAAGGGGGCACGGGTGGCCCAGTCGTCTAAAGAGCCGCGATTCGCTGTGCAGATTTGCATCCCTTGGGCACACCAGAAACCTATGATTGTGGGTTCGAATCCCGGTTCGCCCCGATTATGTTTTTAGGTTTGTCAGCACCATACCCGAGCTCGTGGGTTTCACCGAAGTGGTAAACCTGCATCACTTCGGGCTTTCCTCCCACATTAAGCTGACACGCCGTGATATAACTGGAATATTGTTAAAAGCGGCGTTAAACCAAATACACCAACTACTTTAACGAATGAAGTTATGCAATATTATGTTATTTGCAACAAATATTCCGTACTACGGTGGCCCATAAGTGACATGGAGTCTGTTTTTCAATATTTTGATATTTCACTTACTGTTATCGTAACCTTTTGCAAATTAACACGATTTGTCATACAAATGTGTGATAAATCATGTATAAAGCAGATATTGAATCGCTGAAAAGTGAAGCGAAAGTGTCAAAAACTAAAATGAAAATGCCCAAAACAAAACTAAAAGGACAAAAACCTTAAATGAAAATGTCAAAAACAAAAGCGAAAATGTCAAAAACTAATATGAAAATGAAGAAAAGTATTTCCACCCTGGTGATAATGTTTCCACCCGGTGGAAATATTATCACTGTATTTGTAGAACATATGTTATCTCGAAAGTCATGGCAATATCAACTTTAAATTTGGCAGGTCACACACTGAGATAAATATGTTATTGGTGAATCGATTCTATCTTCTCAAATTTGTTCCAGTACGAACATGAATATTCACTATTCAAATTAGTGAGCGATTTTACGGAAGCCCATTTGTGTTATAACAGTTTTAGTTTTCTCTAATTTAGTAGCAACAATAGCATACTGAATATGTATGTGAGTGAGCGAGCAGGATGTACGCCTCTTTAAATAGCAACATCGCAACGGGGAATCGAACGCAGATCCGCGTGATATTAGAACGCGTCAAATGCCTGGGTGTAACCTGAATATTCAATATGTAAATGATAACGATGAATATTCATATACATATCCATACGTAATCAATATTATTGAATTTTCGCGAAATTTTCCCAAGTTTTCAAGACGATGACAAGGATATTACGGAAGCGAAATTAATTTCTTTAATTTCCATGATGTGATCTTGACGAAACTGGTTTATCTGGTCAACATTCGTTTGGTGGTTTGGCATATACAGTAAAGTACGGTTATATCGAACTCAAAGGGACAACTAATTTTAGTTCGTTATAACCGTAGTTCGTTATAAGCATATATACAGCAAAACTACAGCAAATAGTCGGGACCAAAAAGGTAAGTTCGTTAAATCCGTCAGTTCGTTATAAGCGTGTTCGTTATAACCGTAGTTTACTGTATATGCCATCGTGTTACCCACCCATTTTCAAGGTTTCATGTGTCAGTGAAATAGAGACTTAGTAGACCGACTTGGCACGGTGAAATTGTTACAGTTACGTTAGCATCTGAAAGTAACTCAACAGTATATTTAAATGATATACTACAGGCATGGCTCCGGGACTACGGGTCTCGATGCGTATTGGGTGGGTTCAATTATATACATGTGCAGACGGCCAATTGAAGGATTTGAAATCTCCGACGACGCTTCATGCACGATACAGAGGCAGCGGTGACCCAGTCATCTCAACCGCCGTAATTTCCTGTGCAGACTTACGCCCCTTAGTCGTGCCAGAATCCGACGATAGTGGGTTCGAATTCTCGATTCGCCCTGATTACGTTGTTGTGTTGTCAGCACGATGCCTATACTCGAGGATTGGTAAAAGTCTTAGAACATACTTCACATTCCTCCCACATTAAACTGACAGCCAGATGTAACTGAAATACTGGTTAGCGTGGCGTAACCAGACACACTGTACCGGCATATGGTCAAGATCTGACCCAACTCTATAGCCTCTCCCAGACCCTAGAGAAGAAAATTGGAAGAGGAGTCCATCTCAAGTCTAGAATAATTTGGCAAGTTAGATTGCCTCAGCTCTGAAGACTGTTCCGGGCTCCATTGGGATATATAAATTGTAGATATATATTTTTAATGAGATAACTTTATTTCGTGGACTAAATGTCAGTCTAACCCAACTCACTCACACTCATGCATGACAGTGCGATGTTTTGCTTTTTCTTCAACCACTATATTCTACCTGGCAGGTTCAGAAAACATATGCAATGAAGCATGTCCCCACTTTTCATACTTAAATATGTAATGACACTTTACTGACAATAAATTGAAAATCATCTTGCAACCCTATCTCATCTCCCATCGTAACATCGTCAATCGTGCATTTGTTTTTGTTCAAAGGGATATAAATATTACATCTCACGTCGTGACAAACATCTACCAATGAACGAACATTGACAGCTGTTAAGTTACACCCCAAAACGGTTACAACATGTTAACAGAAATTCGATATCTCCTGTTCGTCCATGTCCATGTGCCGGCCGGTGTGTCGCGGAATGTAACTATACAGCATGAAGAAAAATGCACTGCGAAAAAAATCTTTGTTTATTTTTAGATATATCTCAGGGAATTGATGTTGCCTGTATCACTTTTATGTAACATTCTTACAAAATGTATATTTGTGTTTGTGATAAAATATCCCCACTCCTGAAACCGCAAAATTGTCAGTGAAGAGTGGCAAGAGATCCACAAGTCTCTTTGTGGAGCATCGGAATTTGCAACATATAATGGTTACACGGAAGATTTAGGCATACTCTTTGCATTGGATCACTTAAGCTTGACGTCATGTTTTGGAAAAACCGTATCATTTTAATTGTTAACGTCTGTGGAGTGAGAAAATAGCGAATTTTATACCATATCCGGTCAATATGCTTTGTTTTCCAATAACTATTTATCAACTTTGACCTCAGATTTTAACCAGTGCGCAAGCGCACCTGCTAGTCACATGGCTTCTTCAGCCAATCAATGCAGAGTTATGGCGGACGCCGCCAAGATCGTTTTGTTGGGGAAATGAGTGAAGTTTATCGAAGTCAGAATAAGCGATCAAAACATAACATATTCGATCAGGTTCCCGAAATGGGAACCGTTTGATCTTTGGACGTGATTGGTGTGACCAATGGGTCCAGATGGCAGCCTGACTACGATATGTATGCCAACAGATCAAAGAAAAGCCTGATCAAGTGGTGATCGGTCGCCATTTTGTTAGTGAAATTTAAACAAGATACCCTGTCAATTAGGACAGTTTTCGAGTTAATGAGATATTATTGTTGATCGTTGTGTAGTGCACAAGGAGGAGGGGTAATCGCTTGTCAAGCAAGTGACTTCGATCGCCAGGAGATGTCTGCTAGTTCGAATACGACGCTCGCCAGCCTCTGGGTTGATGACGGTAAAGAGAATTTATAGAATCTGTATTTTGCTTTGAAATATGATTGCCACAGTCAATACCATGCTAATTTGCATAATCAGCAGTGATCATACAAGTTGAGAGTTCATCGTCTGATTTATCTTTGTGACTGATATGTTAATTATATACATGCATTTCGCTTACTAAGCACTGACATCCCAAAATGACCTCGAGTCGATTCTGATCAACAAGCATGTCATCCCTCTATTGCCATGTGACATATCGGTTTGCATACATTGTATTAGCTGTCCAAAATCAGCTGTGTCCGTGCATTATTTCAGTTCATGAATCATAGGATAACAAGTTTTTCAAGTATCGGTCATCCGTTGGTTATGAGTATGAATGATTCAAGATATAGCACCACCTTTGTATACACGTGTATGATCAACAGCTGATGTTATATCATAGTTGTCTATCACCAGATAGTTAAAAAATAGTCAGTTTGTGTTATTGACACTATTGCACATAGGTGAGTATTTAAGTGTTAATGGCATTACAGGCAAACCCTAAAACAAATTGTCATGCTGGCAAGCCACACTTGAATAAATTCAATCTCATATGAAGAGTTGATTAGTACATTGTATTGAAATTAAATCTTGCCTTCAACTCAGCCTGGTGTTGGAGGATTACAATACTTGATGGCATCAAAGAAAGAACTTGGAATATTTGGGATCGGGATGTGTAGATGAATTTAGTTTATCCCCTCAATAGTTCATGGTTAGTTATCAGCTGTTTATGCTGGTTGCTGCTGATCAACCCACTAGATAAACCTACCAATATGTGCTGTGGGAATTAATGCATATTTCTACATCTCTGATTGACTGCAAACCATATCATACTTTGAAAACTATATATCTATCCAATAGCACCTGTAGATATGTATACTTAATCATCAAAAATGAACTTGTTGTATAAGGATTCTAGATTGAAAACCAGAAGCATTTGGGGAGACAAGATGGCCTCTGCCAGGAAACCCTAACTGTTTTTCATTTCCAATCTGTTTCGAAAGGGCAGACCCTATTATTTCTGATTCACTGCCTATAATGTTCTTTCGTTGCTGCAGTGTTTCTTCCAACTGTCAAGAATATGGCTTGTAATGTTGCCAATGTGATTCGTGTTAAACAATACAACAGACAAACAGCAAAATTAAAGAAAATGTAAAGCCAATAAAATGTATGCAATGTTGCTAAGTTAGCATGAAATATCAATTACTAACTCATGGTTTTTACTTCTATTTATCATGTCAATACACTTTTATATTATTTTTTTTAGGTCAAGCCAGTCCAGTGAAACTTACTGCAGTCACTCCAACCAAGTCAGGGAACCTGGAGCTCAAAGATGATCTTACAAAATTCTACAAGGATACAGGCTTGGAAAGCTATGCTAAAGAGGTAGATCTTGTTCCTTTGACCTTAACATGATTCAAAATAGCATCAATAATAAGGCCAAACCCCAAAAGGTGTCATCCGGACATAGTTATTTGTTCTCTTTGACAAGCAAAGTTCCACTCTCCATCTCTGTAGTTGTTCCTTTGTTGTCAGCTTAAAACAAAGTTGATGCATTTGTTCATGTTTGATGGCAAGGTGTCTTGGGGATGTCTTCAAATGCAAGTCAAATTTGGTAACCATGGCCTTGCTGTCAAAGTCGCAAAAACTTTGACCAAGCTGCTGTTTGTTAGCGAGTTGTAGCAAGTATTTCCTTGTTTATTTTCTACATTTATGATTTGATGATGTCTTGGTGAAGTATTCAGAACATAGTTTAATCACAGTCAATTGTGATGACCATTGAATCGTGCAATTAAGCCACAGGAAGAATTTGAATATTTGTGTCACTGTGATAGCTAGTTTGTTTGTTCAATGAACATTGATAAAGTTGGACACCATGATATAACGAGATCTTTTACTCTGATCAAGGTTTAGAAATTCGGCAAGGGTGGAAACTGGACTTTTATAGTCAGTTAACTCTCTTGCTTCGGGAAGATGTACTTTTCCCCACAAAACCAAACTTTTAACACACTCAATACTTCCAAAGTTTATTTACCACACTACGTCATTCATCCATGTGGTATGTGTAATTTGTCATGCATTGTTAGACTTGACGTCATCAATGTGTGGGTTCTTCAAGATTATGTCACATACGTGCTAATGTTTCTATTATGTTTTACAGCAATTTATGTGACACTGGCAGCAGATCGGACTATGTTTTAACTAATCAATGTATAGGACCAGGAGGCAACCTGGTTTTTGTCTGGTGCAACCAGGTTTTCATGGCTACATGCACCTGCTGCAAGTTTAGTCAAGGTCCTTAAACTGAACCCTGATTGTATCTTATGATGAAAGTTTCTGATGAACGCCACTTGATAGAGAAATGTAATACAAGGTATTTATAAAGGATGCAGCTAGGTACTAGCCCATCTTATGTTATGGGTGTCCTAGGGGCTAGTAGAATTTGAGGCTTTAAATTTGCTTATATCCTAGCACTATTTGTAAACATTTTTGTGAATGTTTCAGGTTAATATTGCATCTACTGATTTACCATTGTAATTAATTATATGATATGCATTTATTGGCAATGTTTATACGTGTATTTGTTTATTGTTATGTTCAAGTGGTATGAGAAACAAGGGAAATGACTAGTCAACATTTTAACAGCGAAATCTGAAGTGCGACTACATTAAGTTTTGGTGGGATTTGACTGTTGACACCAGTGATTAGTGCTAAGTGAACTACTAATTGACATCACAGGCCTCAAAGTTGCGACTAAAACGGTCGCCAATTCGACCTATGTTTCAGTTTGTCTACTGTCTAAAATTCAGAGGTAGCCAAATGACTACCTTGAAAATATCTTGTGGCAACTAAATTCTATTGCTTCACATTTGAAGACACAAAAATAGATAATAGCTAAATGCGGAAAACATGTCTGCTAGTAATTGTACTTGCGTATAAGTCCTGCTAAAATCGACAATGAACAGAAATTCATAAATATTAATGTAATTAGTATCTTTTTTCAGTTGACAATGCTCACTGGATAAGCAAGGATATACCTATATAACCTTGTAACATAAATTGCATTATTTTTGGAGTCACAAGTTACAAAATCAAGTACAGTTTCCACTAATATACAATTCCAAGACTAATGCTATAACTTGTACATATTATAATAAATATAATTTGATAAAAGATAATTTCAAATGCTTTTGGCTACCAACATTATTGGCTTAACTTCTTGATTTTACCACTGGCCACCCCCCAAAAATGCTTGTAGCCATATGGCTACTTGGTAAAAATTTAAACTTTGATACCTGCATCAGAGATTATTCTTCCATGGACTCCTTCTAAATTGGCCTGGGGAATTCATTTGACACAATGTCATGGACAGGTCAGGGTAACAAGATAGAAAATCCTTAGAAAATATTTATGTTACACACTCTCAAAATATTAATTCATTTGTGATTGAACTTGGTATACACCTTCTCTTGGGTGGGTCTCTGCTCTGGCCAAGAATAGTCAAAGGTCAAGGTCAGCATTCAGGTTTTTGTAAAAGATGGTTATATTATGGTCAGTTTCTGAGACATGGTTACCTCTGAAGCCATGGAAATATATATTTGTATGTATCTTTACAGGTCAACCAAATCAAATGTAAATTATGTTTTTTAACAAAGGTCAAGGACACCCTCAAGGTAATTGTGAAAAGTAGTTGTATCATACTGTTGCGTGAATATGATGCAATATGTTTGATGTTAGAGGATTTTGTACGCTGGAATTCAACATGGATCTGTGGAATTCTTTTGGCATATATTCTCACACAGTTGCCTAAACGGCTTAGAATTATATTGGTATGATGGAACAGACTGCCTTCTTCAGAGTTGTAGGAGTAAGATGTTTCTACTGCTTTGACTGTTGCCAGTCTCTGGCCAATAGTGGTAAACCCTAGACTTATCCTTAGTTACAATTCACTCATCAAACCCAACTGAGACTGCTTCAAAAGTCAAAATGACATAAATTCTTACGAGATGATCAAACTAGTGTTTCTGATCTGGGGTCAGAAGCCTTGGAACCGTGGCTGGTGAAACCTGTGTCATGTCCAGTTCATTGCTCTGAGTGTTCTCAACTCCCACATGAAAGATGCCTGCTGTGTTGGCCTTGTGGTGTGTGGTGAGTCGTTGTTCATCCATAAATGTAACATGTATTTTATCAACATTTTCCTCAATGGTGACAGTTTAATGTCTTCCTGATCTTTGATCATCCTCGAGGATCTCTCATCACCTCTTGAACTCCACTTCCCACGAAATAACAGTGCCAATGGAAGGAGCAATTTCCTTAAAGCTGAAACCATGTTAGCCCTTTCAGTTTGAGATACTTGATGAATATGTGGCAGCTATTTGTATCCATCCTGCAGTAATTGTATCATTACTTCTGTCATCTGCAAACTTGGATCTGCAAGAACACCTCCAGACTAACTTACAGTTGACATGCTACTTGTCACTTACGCGTTGATGTTTTTTAGCACACCTGACTGAAAGTCAAGTGTGCTTTTGTTGTGCTGCGTTTGCATGTTCGACATTTTCCTGAAACTACAAGGACTATGGAACAGAAATTTAGTATAAATGATCCCAGCTATGTTGTCCCTCAAACTTGCCCACAGAATTTAGATCTATTCATGGTTACTAGGGGTAACTATTTGGTTATTTTGACTATTTCGATAGTACTGCAATAGCACTATTGCAATATATACTTTTTTCAATTCTATTATATAAATCAATGTAATAGAAGTGAGTGTAAGTGTCCCATACGGATAACATTTTTGTTTGTCTGTCAGGAAATGAAATTGTAAGAATGACCCGGCAATGTGGCTGTGATGAACTGTATTTTAACAGGTCCCACATATCGCCAGCCACAGACATTGGTACAAGTCCTTTAAATCCTTGCCAAACTACTCAATAATTTACTCTTTCAACACCGTAGGCCGGCACATCGGCCAAGAAGCCTCAAGTCTGCAGACACAGCATGCCCATAGGCCGGCCAAGTCATCAAGTCAAAATAGTATATAATTTTATGAACCTACCTGTCATAACCTTCATTTATGAAATCGATCACATTTCACAATGTCTGAAATACGTAATTCCATTTCTATTTACTAATAGATTATTTATTTTTTTAACTATTTCCATCTTTTCGTGCGATCGCGTGTAATTTAAGTCAAATGCCATCTCGGCTTTCCTTGCCTCGGTTTCTCGGCTTGGTCACAATAATTAATGCCAAAATATGTGCATGAAAAATCTTTGTCGCAGCTCGTAACCTAGCACGATACATTCACAAAGTTCCATAGTTATCCCCCGAAATAGAAACGGGCTTCATCCGTCCGCCACGTTTCGTTTCCGGAGCATAACTCATAACCCGTTCAATATTTTTTCATCAAACTTTGCAGGTCTGTCAGGTACATGCTGAACTGGTGCATTTTGCTATTTAGAAATTTTTATTTTTTACATTTTTTACATTTCGCTGGCAACAAGATGGACTTAGGTTCTGTTAGGGTAGGGTTCGTTTCCGGAGCATAACTCATAAACTGTTCAATATTTTTTCATCAAAACATTGAAGGTCTGTCAGGTATATGCTGAACTGGTGCCTTTTGCTATTTAGAAATTTTAGCAAAAAAATTTTTTGTATGTTATTAATGGCAATAAGATGGACTTAAGTTCTGTGTGGGTAGGGTTCGTTTCCGGAGCATAACTCCTAAACCGTTCAATGTTTTTTCATGAAACTTTGCAGGTTTGTCAGGTACATGCTGAACTGAAGCCTTTTGCTATTTAGAAATTATTTTTTTTTTACGTTTCCATGGCAAACAAGATGGACTTCATCTTCCCGAGGCAAGAGAGTTAACTGACTTTAAAAGTCCAGTTTCCACCCTTGCCGAACTAGGCTGGAATTCATGGGCTCAATTGTAGCGCCACCAGTGGCTATTACGAGTTATGTCCTTTCTATGCCTCTCCTATGGACCAATCAGATTCAACCTCTCGTATCACTTGCATTTGCTTCAAACAAAACGGTGGCGCCCACTCATGACGATCTGATTGATAATCAAGATCTATATTGTGATAAAACGAGTCTTACATCGCGAAGTGCTTCAAATCACGTGAGCACCTTGATTAAAGGCATGAAAAGATTTAGAAAATATCTGTTGTCGAGTTAGCGGTGCAGATGCTTAGCAAATCCTGCAGTCAACCGAAATCTGCATGATACTTTGCTAACCGGATTTCGTTTTCGGTGCGCGATTTTGATTGAACTATGCATAGACTCGTCAGTCCAGCCAAAATGTAACTCCTTAATGCCAGCCTAGTTCGGCAAGGGTGGAAACTGGACTTTTATAGTCAGTTAACTCACTTGCCTCGGGA